GATCTATTTATCCAATTATATATTTATTATTTTATTTACTTATTTATGTACACATCTATCTATTTAGATGTTTATTTATTTATCTATTTGATTAGCCATCAAACTACTACGACTTAATTATTTTATTCATCTGCTTATTCACCCATCCGGTTGTTTATCAACTTGCCCGTTTATTTCACACTTATATTCACAAATATGCAGTAAAACATATAATTATGATAATCATATTTCTTGTCCACAGTGTCCCTGCTCATTTTGTCCCGTGGAATGGCCTTTACGCGGCGTCGCCAATCGAGTCTCGCGCCGATTCGATCGGCCGGATCTTTGTTTTGCGATCGCGGGATCGCGCGAGCGCCCTCCATCACATCGGTTGCGCAATTGCGCGCTCTCAGTCGATCTCGTAATTGAAAATCCGCAGTCGAGTCGAGAAATAAATGAAGTTTAGCTCTCGATTGAGTATCAGCAATAAACGTCCGCGAGTGAAATTACGTCGTAAGTTGGCCCGCGCTCGTTGTATGCGAGAACGAGCGAGAGACAAACGGAGAAAGAAGTCTTCTACGCTAAAAATCGAAGATATCGATAACACCAATTAGAAGGTAACAACAATATGCTCCATTGATGCCTATTTTGATGAGTCGAGCATCCGCCCGAGTTGAAATGTACAATTAGCCAATCTCAATCAAAAGTCAGCTGGTTATGTTAAATGTTCTAGCTTGTTATTAATTCAACTGATCATTCACTGAAATGTAGAATCGAGTTTGCGCTTTAGCCGTTTTCTAGCTACATATCAAATACGACAGAGTAAACAGCTATTTTAAAATACATAATTTAGCTGCTATATCATTAGCATTTTAAAATTAGGTAGCAAGTCAATACTGTGTTTACGTTAATTTCAGAAAAATCTCAAAAATCTAAAAAAAACTGAGTGTGACACTACTGGCTAGTAACTACGTGTGCTTTCTTTATCTCCTAATTTCTTCTGTTTAATTATCAGCTAACTTGCTCATTTAGCTGCTAGATTGTGAAATGAACGTTATGTTACTGACCAGCAGTGATGTTAGACACAAATTTACTACCTAAACATTGGCTGGACACGACTTAATTTCTGTTAGGCGCGCTCAGACAATACAAAGGGGGAAGACCACTGTTGAAATGGACTCCCGGCGCGAATTACTTAATTACTTGACAGAAATGACACAACAATGTTACGCGCGTCGCACACACCGGGCCACCTCTCGCTCGTAAATCATCGCGTCGTTTATTATCACGTAACGAGACCGCGTCTTATTTTCTTCGCGAAGTCGGCGAGGAAGGGCCGACAGGCGTGAGGCACGGCCGGCTGGGCTCGTTCGGGTGCTATAAATCCCGGAGAAAAATCGCAGGAACTGACGAACTGGCAATTCCACGTCGGGAGAAGAGTCGGCGAGCGCACGCCTGATTTTGCGATCTAATTTTTTCGATTTTTTAAGAAGCGAACATTCTTTTAATAATGACCAGGAGGAAAGAAATCAAGTGGCAGCTCTGATTGCACAATTAATCTTGTACAATGACTTAATTGTCAAGTCTCAAGACAGAATGCCAAGTGATTAACTATGTAGTCCTTCAATTTCTTTAATTTCTTTTCATTATGAGCGAAGAAATAATCGTCGATACTTTCAATGTAGAATATTTTTAATATACGTATTGGATGAAAAATTATTTTAATATACGTATTGGATGATAAAAAATTTGTCATTTTTGTTGAGAAAAGAAAAAAATAAGTAACAAAATTATCCAATTTCAAAGGATTAATAATTTTCTCGAATAAAATGGGACAATATATGACAACATTGATTTTTTTGACATTTAACACAAGGACTTTCTATTTTTATTTTAATATCCCAAAAAATATAACTTTATCTTTAGCAGAATCCTTCTACATATGACCTTAAGAAGATCTTTCTAAAATGAAGAAGAAAATATTCTAAACACAATATTCTCCAAATTAAAGAAATATCACATTTAAATTTCTTTTCCTCTATAACTCATTTTTGCAATACTATTTATTCTTGATATGATCGAGGTCAAGGCCGTTTAACTCGTAGGTGCCGCGATTCGCGTTCACGCCCAGGAATTCCCTCCTAAGGTTCAGCAACGTTACACGTGATGAAACGCTTGATGACTCTCTCGGCCGCATATTTTTCTTTGTTCCGTGCTTTTCGCGATGCTCAACAGGGCGGAGTACGAAAAAGCAGGGGAAAGAGAGGGAGAGAACGAGAGAAAAAGAGACTGGCCGGCTTCGGTGCTTCTCTTTTCACGGGGGAACCGTGCTATTACCGAAAGTGGTTCGCGTTTTGGGCAGCTTCGCGCAATTTCGCTCGTTAATTGGCCCACCTGTCCGGTTCCAGTTCCAGAAAACAGCGAGCGTGACGCGGCGTCGTTAATATATATTCTTTTTGACGCTCTCATAGACGAGCGGGCGCAGCTGTCTCCGTCAGCTTGTTGTCGAAAATTAAGTATTACGGCATCGACTCACTTGTCATCGTTACGACGTCGGGCGTCGTAACGAGGTCTCGCGTCTCGTAAGATCATATATGCACACATGTGCACATATACATACAACAATTTCAAAAATTTCACATTTCTCGCATGATGTAATCCATGCCAAAACGGCCGCTTTAACGTAAACTTTCATAAATTCCATAATGAAATCATATATATATATATATATATATATATATATATATATATATATTGAAAAATAATGAAGTCATTTGGAAAGTCAATATATGTTTTGTTCAATTCTAGTGTAAAATGAAAGTCAGAAAAAATATTGGAAAAACTTTGGGTTTCACGTTTGAAACATCATACTTCTAACTCCAGCACTTATAATTAATTTGAGGAAGCGGACTGAATCTTAATTGCACCTTAATTAAAGAAGAGAAGAGAATATTTGAAAATTTATTTGTGACATTAAAGTTCGTCTCTGTAAAATAAAGTTATTTTTGCAAAAATAGATTTCATATTTCACAAACAAATTTTCACGTATTTTTTTCTCAGTGTATATCTCAATTACATCTCAATTACATTTTTCATACGGAAATCACATTTAAACATTTAAAATTCCGTATACTCATGGGTTCTAACGAATTGACAAAATTCAAAAAAGGCCCCAACTTGTTTGCTGCGCGTTCGGTAAAGAGACAAACGAATGCCGACCGCGATCTCGTTACATAAAAACGGCCAGATGAAACGCGGACGATCGGGTACGGTAGCCGATCTTGATGCCGCAGGCTGCATAACTTATGGGTTTGTTTGCGAAATTAAGAGCGCGCGCGTGCTTCAGCGTTTACAAGCTATTAAGTCATTAATTGGGTCTATTTGAAACGAGTCCAGACGCACCTATCGTGACCAGATCTGAGCCGGTGATTCACGCTCGCGAGACATACGTCGTTCTTGTGACTAACAGAAGAAAGACCGTCGAATTCAAATTTAGATTCGATAAATTATATCGCGACGGGGGGATTATGGAGGAATGTGTGCTCGCCCGTATATCCTGTAATTGATACGTCACGAGTCGAATTTCTTCCGACGGAGAAGCACAGTTAATTAGTGAGAGCGAGCGAGCAAGAAAGAGAGCGTGCGCGAGAGAGAGAGAGAGAGAGAGAGAAGAGATAATATATTTGTTTTATCAACCTCCCTTCGCTCGTATATTCTCGTTCTCTTCCGTTCTTCTAATGTAATATATATATATA